AGTTCCCCCTTTCTCTCTACTTTGTAACCCAGTCCCCAAACTCGCGGCTACCCTAGATCCCTTCCCGCCAGGGGGCGCCCTGACTATAGGGGCTCTGACTATAACCTGGGACAAGCTGACTCTAGGTTGAAATATGTGACATGAAAATAGGCAGGTTCTGAGACCACAGGCGTCAACCTCTTGGAAGGCTTGACCTGACAGAGGAAAGGGTTCTTCGACACCAAAGGCCGGAGGGTGGACTCTCCTCCTCTCTGGGCGGACTCTGGCCTTCACACACACCACCTCATCTGCCACTCCAACCCCAGAGCGCGCCAGTGCACCGAGAGGGCGACACTGGAGCACTACTCTCAGACGTCCTAGCGTCGCCTCCCACCCCCACCCCCAGGGCCTGCCCAGAGGCCATGGTTTGAGGAGAGCGTCCGCAAAAGGAAGGTGGCCGTCAAAGACCCTAGACGCTCAAGCCAGGACCGGGAACAGCAGAGGGAGCGCGCTGTAGCTCCGAATCTGCTCCTGGAACAGCGCCTGCGAAAGCCTTCTGGGGAAGGCCGCCCTACTGCAGGCCCCGGGCTTCGCGCAGATCTTCCAGAGGCTCTCAAGTCTGGTGCCTGGGGAAAAGGCGCAGCGGGTTCCGGTGAGATCCTTCAGGGAGAGAAAGACGCCTTCCAGATGGGGCTCCGGATTCTGTTCCTTGGATCTCGGGACTGGGGAACAGCGACGCCCCACCCCCCACCCCCCACCGCCCCGGGCCTGGCTGCGTTCCTGTTTTCCTTTCCCTGGGTGGAGTTGCCTCGACGGCACCCGGGAGCCCAGCTCAGCCAGGCTCGGGAGACTGCGCCCGGCTGAGGAAGGCTAGCCCACCGCCGGCCTGTGCGCAGAACAGCCAAGGGCCCAGAGGGCTTCGTGCAGTTAGAGGCCTGGAGTCACAGTTTCTATAAACTCAAGATAGAGAACCATAAGTAATAACCCCTTCCATTTGCTAGCGATTTTTGTGCTTTACAGACTCATGCACACCATCTCATCCTTAAATACTTGGATCCCTAGTACAACCTGGGAGATACACAAAGGAGATTATGACAATTTTTGGTTTGGTTTGGTTTGGTTTGCCGCTCAGGAATCAGGTGCTAAAAGGTTTTGTTTCCTTAATTCAACATTTCTTGAGGCACTGGAAGATTGAAGGATAAATAAAACAGGGTTTCACTGTAAAGGAGGGAGGCCAGTAAACAGCACCATAGTTTTCTGATTTCTACTCAAGTGCTCTGCCTACCACCCCTGAGCATTTTAAGATCAGAAATGGTGAAGAACCTTCCCCCCTCCCTGCTACACACACACACACACACACACACACACACACACACCCCTTCATCAAAACCTTCTCTATCTCAGTTGGATCCCAGAGTAACATTGCCACAGAGTAACTACATGCATATTATTTGGGTGATTTATTGTTAATTTATAAGCTCTGTGTGGGTAAGAGCCACATCTAGCTTGTTTAAAACTGAATTTTTAGGCCCAGCACAGAGCCTGGCACAGAGCCAGCACTCAATAAATATTTGTTGAATAAATCACGAATTGCGATGAAACTCAGAGCAAAATACCAGCACCAGGGAACATGGTCTCTCACCGTCCTCGAAGAGGTGTGAAGGACCATGAAGAGAACTAGAAAAATGTGGTGGTGAGGACTGGGGAGGACTTTTCATTCCTCTCGCAGTCCAAGCGACAGGCCCTGAAGTCATACAGCTTTCTGTATGAGACCTCTGTTCTAAATTCTCAAAGAAGTGACTCTGGAGGGACAGAAAGACGTTTCCCTTCGGCCACACAGGTGGTGAGCAAAGGTTGATGGCAGTTCTGCTCGTCCCCCACCCGGCCTGGGCCTGAGCCTGAGCCTCCGGGGCTCCTTAGATTCCAGACCAAGCGGCAGAGAGCAAAGCAGTGTGGCGGGGATTGAGGTGGGCGCCTGCGGCCCCACCAGGGAAAGCTCCTTGAGAAACCTGAACTGGGCCCCACTGCGACCACTCGGCTCGGGAGAGTTACTGAAGTGGCAAGGGTCCTACAGGGGGGAACTCAGGGTTCCCAAGTATTCCCTGCAGCCGTGAAGACATTACTAGTTTAACCGGGGTTGCCCTACTTAAGGTGACTCTGGGAGGCAGCTAAAAGAAAGGACACTCCTTGGTTAGGAAGAGGCCTTGGTTAGGAAGAGGTGTTGGGGCCAGGGGAGGGACTCTCAAGGCCTCTGCTTGATCAAGCTCAGAGACTGAGGTATCAGTCTTCCCACCCCCACCCCTCCCGCTAGACGTTTTAGTCTTCAGGCTTATTCCTGGCAGTGCCGCACATCTGGCAAAGAGTGTGGGGCGGTGTGTGTGTGTGAGAGAGAGAGAGAGAGAGAAAGGGGCAGAGGTAGAAGGGGGGCTGGGGGCGGGCGCCGCAAGGTGCTGCAAAGGCCCAGGTGAGGTCTAGTCCAGAGCTGGTGCGGGTGCGCCCGCCTGCGGAGGGAGGGAGGTGGCCGCACGGTCTGTTGGGGGGGAGGGGTTGGGTGGAGCAGCAGCCCTAGCCCGGCGCCGCCCCCACCCCCCACCCCCAGCTCGGGCCTCTGCTCTAGGCGGTGACTGAGCGCCTGCTGTGTGGCTGGGGGTCACGGTCTGGTCTGCAAGCCTTGGGCGGTGGCGTGGGGGGGGCAGGTGGGGAGCTGCTAGCCACGTGCGCCGGAGCCTGCTGCGGGGCTGGAAAGCTGGAACGCTGCCGAGGACGAAGGCCGAGGCTCAGGGACTGCGCAAGATGCACCTAACTCTCCCCTTCAGTCAGATTCAAGGCCTTAAAGGCAGGGCAGGGTGGTGGGTGTACGAATGACGACAATACAGAAATCTCGAGCTCTGGCAATGGAATTAACAATTTTCCAAAGCTTTCAAAGCGCTTTTATGGGCCCGATCTTATTTGAATCTCAGAGAAACCTTGTGAGGACTGACCTCCATTTCTAAATGGCATTGAGACTGGGAGAGACGTACAACATTCTATACTTGGTGTTTCTTATACTTACCAATAATATGAAATAATGGAGAGGGAGAAAGAGAAAGAAGACAGGGGATTGGGAAACCCACCCCACCTTGTCATGAAGACCCCAGTCAAAACACAGCCCAGGGGCTAGGGCCGCCTGCAAACAAGATCCGTATTCAGTTTTGTCCGCTCTCCTCGACGGTTCACTTGAACCCAGCGTCGTCTTCCCTCCTTGCTCCCTGGGCTTTGACATCACATCGACCAAAGCTCAGTTGGAGTCTGAGTCTTCCTGAGAGCGCCCCCCAGAGAAGCCCCCCGGTAAAAGGGCAAGGAACCGTCTTGGTGCTTGTCCTTCGCGGTACAACCGACGAGCAGGTCTGGGTGCCCAAATGCAAGGTTGCCTGCCCCAAAGCCGCCAAGGGGGATGCGTGAAAACGTGGGCCCATGCGGGAGGAAGAGGGTGCCCTGGGCTTTCTCTCCTCTGTTAAGCGACATAGGTGGTGAGGAAAGCGAATGTTAGTATAGAAGTTGCCTTTGTATTGAGGGAGCACAGAGCACTTCTCAAGGAGAGAACTGAAATGTTACAATAACAAGCCAATAAACAAAGCAACTTTCCCTTACTACAACTGCTGTTAATGGGAAATGCGCCTAACCTGCTGAATTAAATTGTTCAAAAGTGCCTGTTCATCATTGGGAGCTCCTTCTGTACAAGGAGGGGAAGGAAAATGTGAAAACAAAAAACAAATTCGAGAAGCCTCCTTAATCGGCCCCCGCAGTGTCTTGGAGGCCCCAGCCGGGCCAGGGAGCGCTCCACCCTCCCAGCCCCTATCCCAGAGAGGAGGCTTTTTAGCCAAAGAAAAACCAAACCAAACCAACAACAAAACGTTTAGAATCCAAGGGGGGAAAGTCTGAGTGGGTCTCGGGATCTGCGCCACGCAGGGCGCGACACTGTAGTCCACTGGACGGGAGGCCGGGGCCTGGCCCGAGTAGCACGGCGGGTGCCTCTGGCCCGGCTGGGGAGCGAAAGCCCACAGCTCCCCCTCTCCAGGCGCCCAAGGACCCTCAAGGCGCGGGGCTCACACTTGAAGCCTGGGAACGCGCAGACAGGAAACCCACTTCCTCCTAAGCAGTTTCTTGCTCGCCGGATGAGAGGCGCCCAATTGAAGCAGAATGATCCTCATCTACTAATATCCAGCGTGGCCACAAAGCGACTGGCCATTTACGCCGCCACTTTAAACAAAGATATTTGGTTATTCCCGGGGAAGCAAGTGCACTTTTGCATGGCTGAGCTCCGGGCGGAGGCGAGCCTCAGCCCAGCCTCCCGCCTGCTGGGCTGCTCGCGCCTTGGGATTCGCCCCCTCCCGGCCAGCTGGTCCCGCCGGGGTTCAGGCTCAGTTCCGCCCGGCAACAGGCGGGCGGGTACTCACGACGCTCCCTGCCCGCGCCCTCCCTGAAGCATCAGAGGGGAAAACAGCGTGGCCCTGGGCTCGGGTGCTGGGGCTGTGATGTCCTCGGAAAGTCAGCTCCAGCCCCGGAACCCCGCGTGTCCGGGCGATGGGCGAGGGTCGGGGACACCAGGTTTGTTCGAGGTGGGGCAACTTCAGCAATGGCCCTTCGGGTTAGTGCCCCCCAGCTTCCCAGCACTAGCGGCCAGTAGTGTGCTTGCCTTGGCCGGGAATGGGGGTGGGGAGAGGGAGCCGCGTGTGGGTTGGGGGGGGCTTGATGTAGGGGGCCCTGGACCGCTGAGAAGACCCTGAGGTGGGGGGAGGGGGACGCGGGGATCTGGGACAGCCTCTCGGAGGCAGCCGATCCCTTGCTCAGCGTCCCCTCCGCCCGCTGGGATTCTCTCTCGGGTAGGGGGAAAGGGGGCGGGGAGCAGAGGTGTCCCTCTGACGGCGGCAGAAGAGGCAGACAGACGGACAGACACGCAGACCAACAGTGCGGCCCCAGGGTTCGTCCCCAGACTCGCGAGCTCGTTTGGTGGCGACTGGGGCTCGGCGCCGCGAAGCCCGATGTGGTCCGGAGGCAGTGGGAAGGCGCGGGGCTGGGAGGCCGCGGCGGGAGGGAGGAGCAGCCCCAGCAGGCTCAGGTGAAACCCCTACCCTGTCCCTTGGCCCCCTCCCTCTAAAGACTTGTCCCCGCCCGGGAACCCCGGCTGTATTGGAAAGTGGTTCACTTTGTAACTCCGAAAGTTGGTTGCAAAGCAGCATTCACCTTCCTTCCTCCCCACCATCCCTCCTCCTCGGCTACTCCTCACCCCACCTCTTGCCCTCCCCTCTCTCGGTTCCCTCCTCCTTTCCCTCCCCCCCGTCTCCCCCCGCGCGCCGCCCGCACCCCACAAAAAATGGGGTGGGGGTGTCCGGGGAGCGGGGGAAAGAAATGCTTTGGGTCGCGTCTCTGCCTCTCTCTCTCTCTCTCCCTCCCTCTTTGAGACCTAAAAATCTTGACAAGTGAAACTTAAAGGTGTTTACCTTGTCATCAGCATGTAAGCTAATTATCTCGGGCAAGATGTAGGCTTCTATTGTCTTGTTGCTTTAGCGCTTACGCCCCGCCTCTGGTGGCTGCCTAAAACCTGGCGCCGGGCTAAAACAAACGCGAGGCAGCCCCCGAGCCTCCACTCAAGCCAATTAAGGCGGACTCGGTCCACTCGGTTACGTGTACATCCAACAAGATCGGCGTTAAGGTAACACCAGAATATTTGGCAAAGGGAGAAAAAAAAAAAAAAGCAGCGAGGCTTCGCCTTCCCCCTCTCCCTTTTTTTTCCTCCTCTTCCTTCCTCCTCCAGCCGCCGCCGAATCATGTCGATGAGTCCAAAGCACACGACTCCGTTCTCAGTGTCTGACATCTTGAGTCCCCTGGAGGAAAGCTACAAGAAAGTGGGCATGGAGGGCGGCGGCCTCGGGGCTCCGCTGGCGGCTTACAGGCAGGGCCAGGCGGCTCCGCCGGCCGCGGCCATGCAGCAGCACGCCGTGGGGCACCACGGCGCCGTCACGGCCGCCTACCACATGACGGCGGCGGGGGTGCCCCAGCTCTCGCACTCCGCCGTGGGGGGCTACTGCAACGGCAACCTGGGCAACATGAGCGAGCTGCCGCCGTACCAGGACACCATGCGGAACAGCGCCTCGGGCCCCGGATGGTACGGCGCCAACCCAGACCCGCGCTTCCCCGCCAGTAAGTGAGGCCGCCCCACTGCCGGGCCGCGGGCTGAGCACGGGAGGCGCGGGGAGAGCAGCCCAGCAGGCGCAGCGCCTGCCGGCTGCGCACCGGGCGTCAGGGTGGGCGGCCCGGAAGCCGCGCCAGGGAGTAGGGTGCGGGAGCTGGGGGTTCTTCCCTCTGCTGGACTGAGGGGTCCCAGAAGAGACACTTGGTAACGCTGGGGTCTTGCGGGCAGGTGCGAGTATTCGGCGTCTCCCAGATGCGGCCGACTGGCAGCTCTGCTCGGCTCAGGAGACCTCAGAGTGCCCAGGGATCGCCCTCCCACCCCCCAAAAAACTAAGGGAGCTGGGGGCAAGCAGGGAGCAGAGAGGTGCGGCCTGGCCGGGCGGGAGGCTGCCCTACTGCGACGCGCTGAGGGGACCCGCCCGGCTGGCTCTCCAGTCTAGGCAGGTGGAAGGGCGCGCGGCTTCAGAGGGGGCTCTAAACGGGCCGAGCAAGTGCCCTCACTGGGGCTGACAGGAGAGAGCGGCCAAGAGGCAGAGCGTCTGGGACTTTAGCTTTCGAAGGTGAACACCCCACTCTCCCAAACTCCCAAAGTTGGGGTCTACGGCGGGACCCCAGCTCTTGGTCTGGGCCCAGTTCGCCGCCTGTGGCCCGCTCACCCAACGACTCTGGCCAGGGTTGGGCAAGAAAGGACCAGAAGCGGCCTTTCTCCACTTTGCTTTTGGGCTGGAGCCCTGTGACTGAGGGAGGCAACCGGGGTTGAGGTGGGGAGCGTTCCAGCAAATCCCTCGACGGCACGGCCTGGGGCAGGCGCTAACTCTCCTTGGAACTTAGGCCTCTCAGGGCGGAGGCGGCCTAGGTGAGGAGGGCCGTCGGGGTGGGCCGGGCCGGCCAAGGGCGCGGAAGGCCGAGGTGGCCCGGCCCGGCCCGGTCCCCGCCGACGCTGTGCGTTTGTCGCTTACAGTCTCCCGCTTCATGGGCCCGGCGAGCGGCATGAACATGAGCGGCATGGGCGGCCTGGGCTCGCTGGGGGACGTGAGCAAGAACATGGCCCCGCTGCCAAGCGCACCACGCCGGAAGCGCCGGGTGCTCTTCTCGCAGGCTCAGGTGTACGAGCTGGAGCGACGCTTCAAGCAACAGAAGTACCTGTCGGCGCCCGAGCGGGAGCACCTGGCCAGCATGATCCACCTGACGCCCACGCAGGTCAAGATCTGGTTCCAGAACCACCGCTACAAGATGAAGCGCCAAGCCAAGGACAAGGCGGCACAACAGCAACTGCAGCAGGACAGCGGCGGCGGCGGCGGCGGCGGCGGCGGGGGCGCCGGGTGCCCGCAGCAGCAGCAAGCGCAGCAGCAGTCGCCGCGCCGCGTGGCCGTGCCGGTCCTGGTGAAAGACGGCAAACCGTGCCAGGCAGGCGCCCCCGCGCCGGGCGCCGGCAGCCTCCAGGGCCACGCGCAGCAGCAGGCGCAGCAGCAGGCGCAGGCGGCGCAGGCGGCCGCGGCGGCTATCTCCGTGGGCAGCGGTGGCCCTGGCCTGGGTGCACACCCGGGCCACCAGCCGGGCAGCGCGGGCCAGTCCCCGGACCTGGCGCACCACGCCGCCAGCCCCGCGGCGCTTCAGGGCCAGGTGTCCAGCCTGTCCCACCTGAACTCCTCGGGCTCGGACTATGGCGCCATGTCCTGCTCCACCTTGCTATACGGTCGGACCTGGTGAGAGGACCCCGGGCCGGGCCGGGCCCAGCGCGCTGCCTCATCGCTTTCCCTCCTGCCGGCCACACGTCACCAACCACCCGCCGCTCCCTGCGCTTCGACTTTTCTTAAGAGTCTGTCCCGTTTAGACCAAGGGAAAAAACACAAAAGCCAAACTGCTGGACGTCTTTTTCTTTTTCTTTCTTTTTTTTTTTCTTCTAAAATTTGTGGGAATTTTTTTAAAAAAGAAAATAAAAACAACCAAGTGAATCCAATTCTTTAAGGAGTCTTTAAACCGAGAAGGACATAACAAAAAACAGCTTTTGGGATGTCTGTTAGGTGATTGAAATGCGTTTCCCTCGCTCAGGCAGGGTGCAGTTTCGAGAGGGCTCTACAGTGACACAGCTCTGGACTCTAAAGATCGCAAACTTCACTCTGGGTACACTGTGCCAGCAAGGTGGACTCGCTTGTAAATACCAGGATTTCTTTTGAAGGGGAGATGGGGGCTGGGGAGAGGAAAGACTCTACGACAGGACCCGCATGTCACTGACACAAAGGAAATGCCCCCTCCCAGCGCTCGCTGGCCGCCGAGGCTCAGCCCCGGGAAGAGCCCTGGCTAAAATTGTTTTATGTTTGATGTGAACTTGTAGCTGTAAAATGCTGTCAAAAGTTGGACTACACACCTAGTTTTTAGAAATCTGTACATTTTGTTGTAAAAAAAAAACAAAAACAAAACCCCAGTCCCTGTCCCCAGCCCATCATATTTTTTATGGGCATTGACAAATCTGTGTATATTATTTGGCAGTTTGGTATTTGCAGCGTCAGTCTTTTTCTGTTGTAACTTATGTAGATATCTGGCTTAAATATAGTTCCTAAGAAGCTTCTAATAAATTATACAAATTAAAAGGATTCTTTTTCTGATTAAAAGTCCACCTTTTGTTTGGTTTTGATTTGGCTTTAAAAGGCTTTTTTTTTTTTTTTTTTTTTGTGGTGGTGGGGGTGGCTCATCATTGGCCTGATGGGAATTGGCATTGTTTGGGAGCTAAAAGGATCCTAAACCAGCTAAGGAGCTGGGCCCAGAGTCCTTGTCCCATAGGGAAATAGAGTTTTGTTCTGTCTCCAAATTGAGTAGAACCAAACCTTGAACAGTCCTGGGACTTGGCAATATAGAGGAAAAAAGCTGAACTACTTCCATCAGGAGGGAAAGGGAGAACAGAAGAGAAAGAGACCAAAGGACTAGTTTTTAGATCCAGGCTTCTGTTTTTTGAAACCTCAGAAGTGTCTGCTGTGGTCTTATACAGCTAAGTCAACAATTAAAACTTTAAAACGTTTTAAATAACATACATTTTAAATAATCCTGAATGAGAGATCATTTTTACAGAACAGATGGTCCCTGTAGATTTCAACACCAATCCTTATTTCTAATCTGCTGCAGAGCCTCGTTGGAATTAGAATCTGGTGGGAGGCTGTTTTCAAAAATGGGGAAGTCTATCTGGGTCTCGTTTTTGCTCTGAAACAACTATCCCCACTCAGAGTTGGACATGGATCCCCAGCCTCTCAGGGTCCTTCTGGCTCTGGGAGATTTTTTTGACTTGGCTACTGGCCTGGAGACACTGAAGGCAGGACTTTGGAAGCTGGGCTTTCCCTCTTTGTTCCACCAGTTTCCATCTCTGGGCTCCTAAATATCTTTGTAGTAAGGAATCTTTCTCCTGTTCTCAACTTTCTACTTCTCACTGCCCCGGCCACCCCTGCCACCCCAGCAAAAAAAAAAAAAAAAATCTTCAATCTTTCTTACTACTTTGAATTTCCCAGTCTCTTTGGTACCCAGATGTGGTTGTTGGGGAACTATCAGGGTTGCCCTAGAGAAGGGAGGAGGGAAGAGTGGTTCTGGACAGAGAGAAATCATAGCCCCTAGATGGGCTGTTGCCCCTTCTGTGTCACCTTTGAAAAACCTTCCTAGCAAAAGTGGGTCCCTCTTAGCCTGAAAGTGTTTGTGGCAGATTGATTCATACTTGCTTTGTACTCAATTCATGCCTAGAATTTCTTTTTCCTTCTCTTCATGTTTTCTTCCTCTCTTTTCCTCTTATTCTGTCTCCATCTCTCTCTGTCACCCAACTTCCACCTTACCCCACCCCTAGGAACTTGTGAGGGAAATTGCCTAGGCCAAGGCCTTGCTCCAGACCAGCAGTTCCTGGGAGGCTCCTCACCCCTGGTGCCTTATGAGTAGGGGCCAGGGTGGGCTTCATCTCCTGGGTCTGGCTACTGAGATATGGTTTCCAATATCCAAAAGAGACTCAGAGAATCCGAGGATGGTTGCTTGGGTCTACAGAGTGTGCTGGTGGGGGAAAATCTCAGGAGGCCTCACATTTTGGAAAACAAGCAAAAATCAGTGAAGTTGGAACACTTGTGTTGGAATGAGCAGCTGTATTCCCCGGACAGGTTGTGCAGGTGGTCAAATCACAGCTCAGCCCAGGGCCTTGGCAAGGGAGATGTTTGCTCTAAGATCCCAATTCCGTGGGCATGGGAGCTTCCGCTTAACCTGCCCCAGGCCCAGCACAATTCTGGTCTGGGGCGGGGGGCGCGGTGCCTACAACGGCAAGGACGGCTGCCCCCCCCATCCTGGCCCAGAGGGGGCACCTGAGAGTCACAATTTTAGTGGGTTGTGGTACCCTCGGCCTTAACACCCTTGCGCTGGATGGAGTTTTATGAAATACATTCTTCTCCCTGCCACCTCGAGCCGGCTTAGTTTGAAGTCTGTTTACTTGTTGGGGATGGGGGAGGAGGGGGGAATGTGAGTTCAGCCGGGTCTGCGGATGGAACCGAGACTAACAGAGACTTGGCCGCTTCTCTCCATCCATCACCCCGGGTCCACCAGCTCCAGCTCCTGGCCCGGAGATTGTAGTAACTTCAGGAATCGGCCCTGGAACGCGAGCTGAAGCTTTTTGATAAAGAAATATGTGCGCGCTGGGCACAGCAAAAGACCTCAGGCTGGGGACATTCCCTACCCCACATCTCGGTGACCCCCTGCGAAGCCGATTGTCGTCTTCGCCTGGAGTGGCCCTCCCCTAGGTCTCCAGCATCTCTGGCCCAGGTTCCGGCCTGGAGAAATCAGCCTTTTGGGGATGTCCCTGGCGCTGAAGTGCTGGAAGGGCCAGAAGCTTCCCCACGTAGGGGGGCAGCGCAGTTCGCTCCAAGATCCCAGAGAAGCTGAGCGCCCCCGCCTAAGCACCCCACCCATCCCCAAGCCCCGAGGGCTGCGGAGAGTGGGGGAGATTTTGCAGACAGCATCCCCCCTTCCCTCCTCTCCCCCACCCCCACCCTACCAAGTAAACACGGGGACTTTCTCGAGAGCCCTGGAGGGCGGCTCTAGTGGCTTCGGGGCCTGAAACCCCAGGCTTGGCTTGTTTGATGTTTAGCATCCCAAAGCGCACGCCACCCCCGCCGCAGCCTGGGAACCTGGAGCTCTGGGTCGGAGAGGGAGGAAAGCCGCCCTCTCGGTCGGCCAGGCCAGGGGACTGGGCCAGGTTCAGGGAAGGCGAGAAGAGCGGGACGGAGATGCGCTGAGCGGGGGAGAAGGGAGTCCCGGCTGCCGCCGCCCCCAACAGAGACACTTGTGGGTACAGCTGGAGTCCTCAAGGCCGGGAGGCGGGTGGGGGCAGGGAATGCTTCAGCAGCCGGGGCAGCGGCTCTGGGATAGGGGCTGGCCCTGAGGGAGGTAGCTTGGGGCCCGCGAAGGAAAGCAGAGCCAGGCCGGGGCCGACGGTGCGAGAAACGCTCGGGGCACTGACTCCTGGAGGCGGAGGAGGCCCCGCGCGCTCCAGTCCCTGGGCCTCGAGGAGGCAAGGTCTTCTTCCCACTGCTTAGGACTTGGCCTTTCAAACGGGAAGACGTGCTCGGGAGCCTTCCCAGGGATTTGAAATCCTCCTGGGGGCAGGGTTAGGCCTGGGGCTGGCATCGAGGTCTCCGATTTTGAGACCCCCGGCCGGAATTCTCAGACTTTGAGGCCTCACACTCTCGAGCGCGCTCACCGGCGTGAGTAAGCGCGTCCGTGAGGGGCTCTCTCCAGGCGCGAGCGCACAAAAGGTAGCGCGAGTCTCTTCTCAGGCGACTCGAGATAAGAGGAAATGAGAGCGGGGTTTTCTGACTTCCAACTCATTAGGGACCAGGTAAGGTCAATGCTTTCTCTATTATGTCTTTATCTTAAAAGCGGGTCAATTTAAGATAAGGGAAAAAAAATCCAGGAACTGTGTGAACCGTGCTGATAAAGACTGACCCCTTTCCAGAACTAAAAGCAAGCCAGGCAGACATTCATTTTCTATAAACAAGAGAGTTGTGAGAAGCTGCCTTGAATTCTGATCGGATGTCTCCAGTCTCTCTAGACATCGCTCACCCCCTCCCCCAATTATTAGAGCGGGGAGCAGAGTGAGCGGGGATGTTATTTGTGGAGAACTAGAAAGCCTGTTGGGAAATGTGAATCTGAGATGATACGGTTCTTAGGCATGGTTTGCTGGCTTGTTTGTTTCAAATGCGTCTTTCTTTTAGAATGGAAGGAAAGTGACAGATATGAGTATTAGGAGGGCTGACGCTGAATGTTTTCCTTGTTCAGCCAGGTTCCTCTTAAGAGATGCTGGACACCACCTTCCTCTGGCCCTTCCTGACTTCCTGACTGGTGTGTTTGTGGTTGTGCAATTGTGTTCTTTTTGGCTCCAGGCCACCCTCTGTGGGGCCGGATCTGGGCTCCTGCCTCAGCTTAGAGCACAGAAAATTTTCGTGGGCTCCTTTGGGCAGTAGCTTCTGGAAGGAGTATCCTATCCCCAGTCACCCTCTGTGCCTGGAGGCATTGGGTATGGATAAGAGTAGTGGAAAGAATGTGTCTTATTGAAAAGGAGGCCCAGGGTCTGTATGCTCCCTCTCCCCATGTAGAGTTTGTGTTTCTCAACTTGTGATTGTCAAAGGAGCAAAGGAGGAGCAGGCTCAGCAACTAGACAGCACAGTTTCGGCCTCATCTGAAGCCACAGCTGAAGT